CTTCCATCTCTAAGCCCAGCTAGCAAACACTGGAGCACACACAGGACGCTTTGGCCATTTTCAGTCTGACTGAGCTGTAAACATGGAAGAGAAAATTAATCCCAAACTGCTTTATATATGTTTGTTAGGTGCGATTACAGTCAGACTGTGTTTACAAGGTTTTTCAAACTCTAGTTTCAGTCAGACTAAGGCAATAGATGTACTGGTTTGTACAAAGACCAGTACTGGTAAAAGTACTGGTCTTTGTTACTTTGTATAACACCTACCCACAGCTGCAGTGTCAAGAATTTAAAAACAACTGTACGGTAATTAACAGTCTTGTCAGTTTGGGTTTTGTTTTGCTTATTGAGGCTCTCACAGAGGAATCACTATGAACTTAAGAATATTGCATAACCAGCTCCAAACCTCTCCCAGGAGCTTAAAGTAAATCACCACACTGACTTGAGGGATCAGGTTGGATTCAAACACTTTCACACTTTCATGGCAGAAAGGAACATGAGTTTGACTCTCCAAAATCATCTCTAATGCTCTGTTTACAGAATAATTTGTTTTGGAGACAGAGAGTGATGGAGAAAATCCAAGCTGACAACTACTTTTGTTTGCACTGAAGTACTTTCCACATGACTTAACCCTAAACCTGGATCTACAGGTAGTCAAACACTGAATAAGACTGGGAGGAAGACGCTGGAGCAGCTGCTGTTGATATTGGAGATCCTGCGATGGTATTAGTGATGTTTGTATGTGGACTTGTCAGATTAACGTTAATCACGGTGGTTTTCCTTGTGAGATCACGGGTAAACAATGAATCTGATGTGGGAGGTCCTCTGGCCACACCCCACATTCCTCAGGAGCCTCTCTAAGAGCATCCCAGGATTACAAGACCTGCAGATTTGGAAACTCTAAAAACGAAACCAACTTAGCTTTACAAAAAACACTGCTTTGCTTGCAGAGCTTTGGAAAAATTTGATAGTTTGGGGATATAATGTATGTCACAGCAAAAACGGCACCCGGGGGGATGTTTTTTTCCTAAGTGTGTGATAATGGCTGCAGCAGAAGTCATTAATAGTGGGCTAATGTGTGTCAGATGGTACCTGTCCAGCAGCAGAAGCAGCAGCAGGGGAGAGGGATCCAGGACACGAGTGACTGACCAGCATAATGAGAGGGACATGGCCTGCCAACTTGGGCAGCTGCTTCTTCTTGTGTGTGTGTCTGTGTGTTTGTGTGTGTGTCTTCTCTAGTTTTCAGCACTTATTCTGCTTCTTTCCTCAATATATTTCTCATCAACACAATCCAGAAATACAGCTACACACACGCTGCCTTTCACACACAAACAGAAACCTCATCAGGGTTACCGTGGGAATGCCTGTGGCATTATGTCAGGCACTGAGGTGATGCCTTTAATCCTGAAACAAATCTAGACTTTGTGTTGTGGGTCTCTGGCTGTGTGTGAGTGGGTATGCCCGTGTGTAAAGCCCCAATCTCACACCCATTAGATTACGGCTGGCCGCGCAGCAAAGACACCCCGCTGCCACTCCCACATGGAAAAGCAGGCAGGATTAGCCCGCTCTATAACGCCCTAATCTGAGGACAAAAACCCACAATCGCCTCCCACTGAGATACAGAGACAGAAAGATTCAATTTGATCTGCCCTCCTCAATATAACAAGTGTCCTTTAGGGTTAAAATGACTACTGCTCACTCTACCAACAGTCAATGTGGATTCAGCTCTAAACTGTGTCCGTTTCATCCCTGCGATCGATCCCTTTTGTCATAGTCAGGAACACCTATAGACCGTAATCTGCCACTGTGATTGAAAATGGAAGATACTTGTTTGTGGCTCTTAGTGTGTCGTAAACTGGTTTTGTCTGAACAGGACGGACAACTAAAAGTGGAAACAACCCTTCACAGTATTAAATGCTCACATTAGCTGTTGTCTAACACTCGCTTATGTTATAACATAATATTGAACATGGTAAACGGACTTGTACTGAAAAGGCTTTTTTAGTCTTTTGCACCACTTACATTTTTACACAACCCATCACATTCACATACTCACACCTCATTAAAACAGTGATGACAGGTGGTGCTAACATAAGGGAAAGCAGTATTAGCTAACTCTATTGATATGGACTTAACTGGCAGTTCAGAGTCCAGCCCAAACACTCGCAACTGTAGCCAGCAGCCCAATTCAGAGTCCAGCAACTCTTTTTCGATATGATGACCCAAAAAAACCATCAATCCCTGCCTTAAGTAGAGGAAAAAATGCAGAACATTGTGGTTATCAAATAGAAACTTGGAACTTGGTAACGAGTCCATTGCGGACTGCAGTGGGGTGACACAGCTCAAGGGAGAACATTTATGATCATTTCTTCATGGAAATGCAATCAGACTGAGACGCTAAGGCAGGAGAACTACCACGTCTGCAGTGCAAAATGATTAATATGGTCATTATTACTTCAAGGAAATGATAAAGTAATGATAATAAATGTTCTTCCTTGAGCTGCGTAAACCCGCTGCAGTCAGTAATGGACTCGTCCGAAGTCTCTGTACGAACAAGCAAACAAGTACAAACAAGAAGCTGCTGTAAGAGAGAAGGTGAGCTGTGTTTAGTCTCTTTGCTAAAGAAATTAGGCAAAGCTGAAAAGACATTTGGTGGCTAGTACTATGACTGGGACCCTCTATGTACTGTTGATGAAGTTAGGTGCCGTTCTGAGCATTATTTGTGGCTATAGAGTGGCGTTTTGGTTGAGCACTTGGCTCCTGAGACCACTTTGTATTGCTATCTGCGGTCGTTACTAAAGTTGGTATAACTAGAAAAGCAAGCAGTCGGCAACATTCATCTCTCGACGGGGTGTCTAACTTGGTGTTACAGTGTGTTTGACCCTAAATTAATTTTACGCCGAAATATCCCTTTAAACCGTTAACTGCATATAAAGATGGACAAAGCTTTCCTTCTTTCTCCTGATGTACAAAAGTGAAGCCAAATTCCCCCTTTGCAGCTGGCACTGACAATCCTCTGCATCTTGAGCTGTGGCATTGACACCCTGCCCATACTGCTCATACTGTTCACTGCATCATATACAAGAAGTCAACAGAGGAAAAGTCACAGTTATGGAGAGTTCAAAGGCTCTTTTGTTGGTATTGGTTCGGCCCAATCAGCTCGGTGATTATACAAACACTGTCATACATTGAGTCCTGGTTCCATGTGGTCTGTGATGGCTTTCACTGAGTTATCTATTGTTCATATGCAGTTATTTTCAATGAGAAACCAATCTCACTCTGAGGAGCGTGCAGAGAGTGTGATGCATCATTACAAAGACTACCTGCTAAATGTGTTGTCAGTGTGTCATTATTTGACAGAAGCCGCCTGTTTCATCGCCCTGAGCTCAGCCAACTCTCCCTGTCTCTCTTCCTGTCTTTGTCTCTTACTCAGAGGCATCTGCCTCATTAACCACCATCAGTATCTTGTTTGCTGTGTGTGATTTAGATGTTTTGGTAGTGAGGCAGTGGGTGCTATGTGTGTGTGTGTGCACACTTAGTGTGTGTGTGTGCGTGCAGCTCTCATTAAGCTGGAAAAACATTTACTTTTTTGCCAGAATTTAGATCGTATCTTTTTTCCTTTTATGTATCAGAGGGTTTCTCCAACCAGCTTGCTAGTAAGTGAGTATATATATTTATATATATATATATGTATGTGTATGTGTGTGTTTTTGTGTGTAGTTTTGGTTGTGTAAAAGGGCGACAGATGTTTGCTGATTCGACAAGTTTGGACCCTAACTCAGCCCAATTTAGCCGATGAGAAAACAGAACGCCACACAGACGCTCACGGTGACAGCCCAGCATTAGTTCCCTCTACTTTTAATACTCGCTCTCTTTCTTTTTGTTTTTCTCCTCCACTCTTTTTGTTGTTTCATTCAAACACAAACCCAGAACTCCCGGGATGTGGCTAAACTAGCAAGATTTCAGCAAACCCTCTTTCTACAGTTGTCTTTTTATGTTGGCAGCACATCTGACTGAGTCTCAGCTTACAAACGGAGAATTGGAAAAACATGAAGTGCTTGAAGCCTCAATGCACGCTCTGTCTACATTAAACATATACCATAATTTAAAGACACCTTCATGCAAAAAATTTGTTAAAACAAGATTAAAACTTTCATGAATGGACGGTTTTGGGATTTATTGCAATGCAATATGGCAATCATCACAATATTTCCTCGATGTTTCTATTTTACAATGTACAAACTAGATAAAAAAGGCCATAAATAAACAAAATGCTTCAGGTTGCTAAGATTAGCATCGAACAAAGGACATATACATTTGACACAGACAGATGACGATCTATTCTACATTTTTAATTCAACAAAATTCAAAAAGGAAACAGAACAATTTAAAAAACACTAGCATATCATACAGTGTGTTAGTAAGAATCAGGTAAAGAGCTCGAAACGATACATTCTACCCAGCTCCTCCTTCTCACTCTCTTTTCAACTTTGCATATTCAAAATATTCAAAGATAGCTGAAGTCCTGACAGGAGAGATTCCAGGTTGTGGGCAGTCACGCAACATACTGCACGCTCACACACACACATACAAACACACACACATACATACACACATATGAGCAAACACATTTTATTCAAGTCAAGCCCAAAGCAGCAAAAAGAAAACGTTGGAAGCCATTCTGCTTATGCACAGCCTTACATGTCAGCCTTCACAAAACCAGAGAATAAAATACTGAAAAAGAGAAGTGGATAAGAGGATGAGGCTTCAGTCTAAGCCCGCAGTAGCTTAATGCTCTCTGTAGCCACGTCCAGATCATGGATTTTTAGAAAACTCCACAGGATGGAAGTTCACAAAAGTGCTGCTGTTCTCTCTCTCTCTCTCTCCTCTGTTCACTCAGTATTACGACTTCACTCCGCTCCTTGAAAAAAGTTCCTCTAAAGTGCATGGATGAGGTAAATGAAATTCTTCCCAAAAACAGGTTCGTATCCGTTCTGCGGCTCAGACTGGAACCATCGTGTGTTGCATGTGCTGCATTTGAGACAACATTTCCTGCTGCACACTGGCAAAAAGTATGTCCTGGTGTGACGGCGTGATTATTCCAAGTCTGTCCATCTCCCTGTGGGTGCAGATACACAGGTTTTTCAAGCAGAACTTTCATCATGTACTAATCTTTCTTTTTTTTATCACAAAGCTCAGAAAACTGGCAACAGCAAAACTTCCCCCCACAAAAACACGCCAGTTTTTGATTCAATATTTCCCCCTCTATATTCTAGACAACATGGCAAGAGGTGAAAAACTGTAAAAGACAAAGAAATCGAGATAGTTGCACAAAAATACTCAAATGTATTATGTTTTGAAGACCAAGCTTTTGATTTGGCTTGATTGTCAGTAGCAACAAAGGAAATTTCCACATCAGACGCTTGGTTGGATCAATTGATTATCCGGCTGAACATATGTTTAGATGTAAAGATATAATTACAAACCTGAGGTATCCTATGATTAAAAGAATGATGCTCACATCCCTCACTGCAGCTGATAATGGTGCACCAACATTTTTGCTTAATTATAAAGTAGAAACACTCTAAAGCCTATAATCATATCTTGACAAACACTAAATGTGCTAGTTTTCTAACTGAATCATGGCGATTCCTCTAAAGCCTCCCACATCCACATGCAGTGATTAACATACATGGAGAGGAAAGAGAAAGTATGCATATGAAGAAAAGGAGGCGGTCTTCCAAGCTCTGTGTTTTCTCTTTTTTTGCAAAGTTTGTGCTCCAGGCAAACCACAAAATATCGCCAATGCCATGTCAGTTTAGAGACACAGGAGGAGAGGGATTTATTTTCATCTGCGTCAGATTTTCATCTCCTTGTTGAGTCAAAATTAGAGATGAGATCCTGTCTGTGCAGCTCATGTTTTAGCACAATGAGATTTAATGAACAACTGCCAAAGTGACTCTCCTTTCAGCCCATTTTCACATGAATTTGCACTTACTGGTGTGTGAGAGCCAGGAGGCTGTCGAGACTGGTGTATCCTGCTGCTGCCAGGGTGTCTCTGTACCTCTCCAACCCGATGGACTGCAGCCACACACACATCGACCACTCGGGCACACACACTTCTGGTGTGACTGACACACACACCTCTGAACCCAAACCGGACTCCAACATGGTGGCTGTGGTTCTGAGGGGGAAAAAAAGTGGAGCGTGCAGATTAGTGGTTAAAAAAATGATATAGGAGAGGCACTGAACTTTAGATGTGGGTGTATGTGTGTTTAAATGTGTAATGAAGGCAAGGGCGTCAGTTTGTTTCGAAAAGTGGGAGGGACAGCTACTAGCAGCAGTGACTTTGGGATGATGACTACAATTGATTTTACTTTTGGTATGGCCACTATAAAATGCGTAGACTTATTTCATGTTACCAACTAACGCCCCCTCGTATATAGTTATTACACGGGATAATCATAGGGTTAAACAAGTTTTCTAACTCATCACAGGTATAATCAGAAGAAAAATCACACTTTAAATCGCAGCTTCAGCTTGGCACAGATGCAAATTTACAACAGCTGCACGTTTTTGTTATCCTCGTGAAGGTCTGCTGCGTCTTGGAAGGATTTGTGTGTGGTGGAGACAAAATGACCCCTGACAAAAAGTGTGTTGGGGGGGACATCCCCCTAAACTCACCCTAAACTGGCGCCTATGAATGAAGGTATGAATGTTTCTGTCTTTGTTTCTGTCTGTAAAATTCATTCGAAGTGTGTACCTGTCCCCTCCTGTGCGGCGCAGAGTCCCAGGATTACGAATGAGTTTATCCAGCATGTTGAGAATCTGACTGAAGGTGGGTCTCTCTGCTCGCTCTCTTTCCCAGCAGTCCAACATGAGCTGGTGAAGCACCACAGGACAGTCCATGGGAGCAGGCAGGCGGTAGCCCTCCTCTATCGCTTTGATCACCTTTAGGAGCAGCAGAGGTGGAGGTTTTATATCTTTTAATGAACTCTTAATCCTAGAAACATTAGCAACCAATGGGTCTACTGTACAATAATAATGCGCAGTGCAGACTAGACTGTAAACTTATTGTGACAGCATCTTTGCGAAAAAAAAAAAAGTCCCTGTACATTATGGTTTTGTACAGGAAATGATTTAATATGTGCCCCGCCAGCCTGACTGCCACTTTGAAATGCCACTGCTGATTAAGTCTCAAAAGAAGAAAGCCCCTCCCCCTGCCACAGATTTATAACCCCTTTGTTGTCAGAAATCTCACCAGAGCTGTCTCTCCACCATCTGTAAATTATTTACTTATTTGCAGCTGCGAGCAGCTTCAATATTTCCTTTGTACATTAAAATGTTCAACAAAGCTGTTTGTCAAAGTCAGATTCTGGAGGTTCCCTCACAGAGACGTACGGAGACAGCAATAACTTTTTAACCTTTAACTTTCTTGGTCTCTGTAACCCCCATTATTGTGTTTTAGTCTTATCCCTATTGAAAGGATAATCATATTCTAACTTTTGCTGCTTTTAATAATCAGCGTACATTTGTGAACTTTTTTAGAAATATGGCATAATTAAAATTTTTTGCTGCATAAGCTTCAGTTCCTGCTGGCACTGTAATCACTGATGTACAGACAATCAGCGGTTAAGTTTGATACTTAAAAATAGTGTATTAACGGCACTTTATTCACATTGGATATCAAAGTTATAACTCTGAGTAACAATAAGATTCAAAACTAAACTTAATTGCTTCCATGAGCAGTTCGTCACAGCCTCTGCCACAGCAGAGTGCTGGTCATGCTGATAAGTGGGAAAAGTCAGTCAGCTTTTAGAACATAAAATTACTACAAACTCAAAACCTGCCCAAGTATCTCATATTGAATAGGGTCTTGGCTAAGAATAACAGCAGAAGTGATGTTTAAAATGCTTCAGTTTGTATGTGGTTGTGTGATAAGTCTCTGCCAGCAAATAAGCTAAAAAAATAAACAGTGGAGCAGCTCAGCGTGCAATAATTTACTCAATAAAAAAGAGAGTAAATAAGATGGATAAAGTGTCTGGAGAGCAGCTCATCAGGAAAGTTTTCTTAGACTTCAGCAGTGCTGCAGATGAAATCAATCATGTTTGGAAATTTTCATATGCCAGACTGGCTCTCTGACCTGTTCAGACTTAACAAGCTTTGATAGCAGAGTGATTGCAAATTTACTCTGAAATGGGATTTTCGTCTCAGATCTGAAAAACTGTTCAGAACAACTGAATCCTCTCTAAATTTATTTAGCCTGGGCTGGAAGAGGGAGAACACAAAGCGGAAATTTCTGGTCATGTTCTGTTAAGTCTAAAATTCATCTTCAGTAAAATGTCCTTGAGAGACTAGACTGGACAGAGTCTTGGCTTGCTGCCTTATCTCAGGACAGTAACAGGCGAAAATTTACATTTCTTTGAACACAGCAGAGGTCACTGGGTCAGAATTCATAAGACCACACAGACGAAAGTTTATTTGCTCCAGAAGTATTTAACTGAAGACCTGCCTTCATATGTATTCATCTGTTTAAATTGGATTCTCAAACTTATGGACTGTACGGGTTTTTTTAATTCTGTTTGACTTCGAATGACCTACAAAATATGCTGATGGAAAACTGAAAATTGATATTGCTTCCTGTGGGTGTATTCACACAGTCTGGTTGTTTTTAGCCTTTATCTCGTTTGTTACTGACAGTATTTTACTAACAAACTGCTTAAATCTGACAGGGTCATACTGGAGAGCTGAATTAAATCCCCTCCTCTAACAGAAAAATGAGGGCGAATAGATTCAATACTCCTACCATAAAGATTCAGTTCATCTTAAAGAGACACTTACTGGTTCAACATCAACTCTGATAACTCATGGAAGTATATTAAAGCTCCTGTGAGGAATCTTTGGTTTGTGTCAGTTTTGGAGCCCCCTGTGGACAAAGCAGCGTTTGCTTATTTTGTCCTTTAAGTGAATAGGAAGTCTCTTTCAATTAAAATAAAATCATCTTGCTGACTTTTGACAGTCAAATGTATCCTACTGTGTGAATACTTTAAAACAGGGCTGTTTCTTTAGCTGCTTGGCTAACAGCTACCCTTTACATTAGTTTCAGACATTAGAAATAACAATGTAGTTATTGTTGATTTTGTCGCTGATGGTCTTTTTTGCTTTTACATACCATGAAAATGGATCAAAAGATATTTCCGTCTTTTTCATAAACATCAAAAAAACTCCTTATAGGAGCTTTAAGCCAAGACATTTTCTGCTTCCTCAGACGTATCACAGATTCATCATGTTCAAAAAAGGTGATTCGGAGTTTTAATTTGACATTTACCCTGGTGTATGGAAAAGGACTTCAAAAATAAGCAGACTTCATTGTCTGTGAGACAACTCATAGGTCAGCGGATATCAAAATGACTCACATCTTGGTTGTTCATGTCCCAGTAGGGTCTCTCTCCGTAAGAAACCACCTCCCACATAACAATGCCGTAGCTCCACACATCACTGGCTGTGGTGAACTTCCTGTAGGCTATTGCCTCTGGAGCTGTCCATCTGATAGGAATCTTCCCTCCGGGTGAAAGATAAGTCCCAGTGGGCTCCTAAAACAGCAAGAAGAGTCCTTTTGGTTCAGTGAGAAATGGAATATATTTATTGATTCTTATCCGAAGAGGGGGATGGCGAGCAATCAGATTCATACTTTGATTCACATCAGAAAAAAAGTCAATTAAAATGAGTTTTAAAAGTAAGTCATAGATCTGAAATGAGGACAAACGGCTGAATATGTGGACAGTTCGTAAAGTGCTTAATATTTGTGTGTCTTACCCTTGTAGTGTAAGCAGCCTCTGGGTCGTCCTCCAGAACTCGACTCAGGCCAAAGTCCGACACCTTACACACCAGGTTGCTGTTGACCAGGATGTTCCGAGCTGCCAGGTCTCGGTGGACGTAGCTCATGTCTGACAGGTACTTCATACCTGAGGCTATGCCGCGCAGCATGCCGACCAGCTGGATCACTGTGAACTGACCGTCATGTTTCTGAAACATTGAAGTTAGAAAATTTATATGGACACCAAAGACTAGCTGGATAAAAAAAGAAGTGTAATATGTTGATCAATTTCAGCACATCTGTTTAATGTCCAACCTGAATTTGCTTGTTTCTTTAAACTTTAAAATTAGAAGCATATATGTTATCAAGTAGGTGTTGGTTTAAAGGATGCTTATGACATATGTGAAGCTCATGGACACTTATGACAAAACTGTAAATATTGTTATTATTTAAAGATTTCTGTAGAGAAAAAGTTAAAAGAAAAAGTGAAAACAAGTACCCGAAGGAAAGCATCCAAAGATCCATTTTCCATGTATTCTGTGATGATCATCAACGGCTTACCTACACAGGTAGAAATGTAAAATGTCACTCTAAATTACAGCCACATGTACACATAAACGCATAAACAAAACCACCCATACTCCCTTTACTAAAAGCTTTGAAATTCTCACATCTTGTCACGACCCCCTCCAGCCTGATGATATTAGGATGGTCAAACTGTCCCATGATGGAGGCCTCAGACAGGAAGTCACGCCTCTGCTTATCCGAGTAACCCGCCTTTAGACTCTTGATGGCCACGTAGATCTCCCTCTTTCCTTGAATACGAAGCCTGCCACTGCACACCTCCCCAAACTCTCCTACACACAAACAGCAGAGTCAGCGCCAAGTAAGCGTGTGTGTGGGTTTCTGCGAGTGTGTGTGTGTTTAAGCTCTAATGCCAGGCTTACCCATGCCAATAACTCTCTCAATGTGAATACTGCTAACATCAATCTCTTTGGCGAACTCGTGGATGGCCTGATCCGGGTCTTCGTAGGTGAACGGGTCCACGTAGATTTTGACTCCTGGGGGGAGATGAGGAGGCGGGAGAGGAGAAGAAACAAGGAAGAAGGAGAGAAGGAGGAATGCAGAGGGAGGTGAGAAGGATGAGTTGTGTAACTACTGCATATGTTATGTAAATGTCTTTGGCAGTATGGGTATAAGATGTGTGCAGGTGGATCGAAGAGAAGATGAGAAAACGGAGGATCCATCTGTCTTTTTTCATCACAGTATGTTTGTGTTTGTGTGTGTGTGTGTGTGTGTGTGTGTGGTACCTGGGTTGAGATGTTTCTCCTCTTCTGACTCCTGCTTTGTTTTACTGTATTTGCTTCTCCTGGTGACACAAAAGAAAAGATAAACATTTGATTCACACTCAAAAAACACAACAAAAGTTCTTGTATTTGTTTTTTTTTTCACATGCCACGTTTTCTAAAAAATTTTACAAGTCATAAAAATGCACAAAAGGGCGTGTGTGTGTTTGTAACTTTTTTTTTTCAGTTGCAGTGTGCATTTATGATTGTTTCAGGATTCGCTGCAATAGAAAGTGATGACAATGAGAACAGAGGCTGCAGGAAAGACACACAGCGAGCAGATGAAAGCATTTAAGGGAGCGAGGAAGGAGGAGGGGCAACGCCTCAGGTAGCGAAAGATAAAAGGTGTTTTCCATTAAACAAAGAATCTGTCAGAAACACTTTTGTTGGCGAGCAGGTGTGTGTGTGTGTGTGTGTGCGACTGTGAGTGTTTTTGTGGGCACTCGCGCGTGCTCGTGAGTGTGTGACACCCAAGCTGTGCTGCTGAAAAGACAGTAATGACAAGTCAGGGACAAAGGGATTATCATTGTCTCCGCTCTAATCCCCTTTAAAAGCTTCAGGTAACACACAGGCATTATTCAACCATGAAGAGGTGTGTGTGAGTGTGTGTTTGTGTGCGTAACTTGTGCAGTTAAGCAGCAATAGTTAAGAAAGAGGTAGCACACCGATTGACGTCAGAGATTCACTGATGGGAAACCTCCAGCAAACATAACAAGCGTATGTGTGACGGTGGGAGCGGCTGCCTGTATGGATCCTTAAATTAGTATGTGAGATTGTGTGTGCTAGTGTGTGTGTACCTGCGGCTAATGATGAAAACAGCTGCAGATATCAGCAGTAAAACTCCAACCCCGCTGACAGACAGCAGCAGGAAAGCCGAGTTTACTCCTTCTCCAATCAGAGGGAAGGGATCTAAGGGAGGAAGGACACAAAAGTCATCACCAGCAAAGTTACAAACTTCATCAAACGCAAACTGAAATCTCTCCTCATAAAATTCTGGTTGTTTCTGGAAGGCTACCTGAATTAGTGGAGAACTCAAACGGAGCGCTGAACTCTCCATAACCAGCTGCAGTGCGAGCTCGCACATGAAACACATACACAGTGAGGGGGTTAAGACCCGCAACATTGACGCTCTGGGAGAAGGTCCTCATTATGCGGTAGGAGCGCTCTTTCTGGTCCTGATTAGATGAGACAAAAACAGAGTGGGGGGGATGTCTCTTTTCAGTGTCTGACTGCAAATCCATGCTCACCATCAGGGAAACACAAACAGAAGGAGGACATATTGACAATCCGGACAGCTGCCTGAGCTGCATTAACCTGCGGCTGCCTCACCTTTTCATAGAACTTGACCTCGTACTCCAGGATGACCCCGTTGGGTCGATCTGGCTGTTGCCATGACAATGACAAACTGTGCCTTGTGACTTCTATGGCGTGGACTGACGACACTGGAGAGGGAGCTACGAGAGAGAGAGAGTGATGGGGAGAGTTGATTTGTTAACTTTGTTTAAGATTTTCCTGTTTATGTTTGGGGAATCAAAGTTTGGTTTAGTATAGTTGAATTTAGTTTAGCTTAATCGAGTTTAAGTCTGATGAGTTTAGCTATCTTGAGTTAGGTTTAGAGTACTTAAGTTTCATGTCCTTTAGATAGACTTAGGATACCAGCTAAGCTTGACCTTACTTTGGTTTAGATAAACTGAGCTTGGCTAACCTTGGGTTTTGTTCTTTTGGGTCTTAGATGAACTTCGACCCTTTAGTTCAAAAATTCAGTGCAGCCTTACTTTAGCCTAAAGTTGCCTTGTTTGGTTTTGTTCAGTTAAATTTGGCTTGTTGCGTTTGCGTTTGGCTCAGCTTAGCTTAGCTTGGTTTATTTTGGTTTAGATGAAGTCTGTTTGGCAAATTAAGTTAAGTTGGGCTTCGATGTCTAAGCTTAGCTTGGCTTAGCTTCCTATGGTTTGGTTTAGCCCGGTTATACCCAGCTTGGTTTCACTTGGTTGAGCTTTTACCAGACAATCTCACATAAACATATAAAATCACCAAATGATTTCAATATTGTTATTGAGAAAATGGTGTTGCTGAACAAGTGCAAAATTTTATAAGTTTAAAAAAAGTAAATTGGTGAAAGAGTTGATATTTAATGGTCTGTCTGTCATTGATCAACAGTGGATCCTGATGGTTCCCAATCAAATGTTTTGAACAGCAGGGAACACTGAAGTCTCTTTCTCTACAGAGAAACAATGAAATGAGTAAACTGATTAAATTGGCATTTTCACAACCAATAAAACTTTCTATACCTGGGGGCTGTGCTGCCCTAGCAGTCCAAGCATGCCGCCCATGTACAGAGGTTATGATCCTTACAAAGGCGGCCCAGGTTTGATTCCAGCCTGTGGCCTGTTTCCCACATGTGCAGCCCACTCCCTCTGTTTCCTGCTCTATCCACTTTTCTGTCCTCTCTATATGAAAGCAAAAAGCCCCAGAGGGAGTCTTTGAAGAAAAATAAAACATATCTGATTGACCAAGGCAAGTTTTATAGAAAGGAAGATGGCGATTTTTAACTCAATTTCCTAACTGAATCAATGACAAAATCAAACTAATAAAAACAAAATATAAGTCTGTCTATATACAACATATAACATGACAGAAAATTTAAGAGCCTATAACATGGTAGAATGACACACTGTATATCAGATTACAACATCTATAATAGATCCTAAGCCCTGTAAACAATCTAAAGCTATACATGGTGCCTGATTGTCAACAATCCCAGTGACCCAGTGCACCTGAGATCTGACCCAAATCTCCTTCCTTCCTGCCACAAAGACACACCTTATTCCTCTCTCTTCCCCCATATATCCCCTCTTTTCTTATCCCCTTATGGCGTTTTTCCTCCTTTGTGCCTGTTCATATGATATGAGACCATATGGTGGTGCAGGTTGGACTTGACACATCCCAGACAGCCCTCACGCTGTGCACACAAGAGCTAAGTTATTTCCCTGGGGCAGGTGGAGTTAAACAGGTATGCCGTTTTTCAAATGGCACAGTAAAGACTTTAAACATCGACAGTTGAGATGTAGCAGCACGCTTAAAAAAAAAGAGAAAAGAACGGACTGAAAACTAATGAAGAGCATGTGTGAGAGCGCCACACACCAGCTGACACCTTCACAACTAAAATGAAACACGCCATAAAATCTGGGTGATTTTTCAAACACTTTATGGTCCAGCACTGACATGGGTAAAATCCCTCGATTAGACTTACTAATACTGTTACATATCAACAACTCTGCAATGTAGTGTTGTGATTTACTACTCTCCTTTCAGCCTGTGCTGTCTGTTTGTATTTAAGTCAGTGATTTACATTTCCAGAAAGCTTTCTGACATCCTCTTAAGAACAGCCCTATAATTAAATCAGCTGTTGTTGGGTGTAGGAGGACTGAGTAATAACTATGACAACTCTGACAGTGATAGTAAGAGCAAGAGTTCCTGTTTAAAAAACAGCAGGAAAAGTGTCTATAAGTTTGTTAGTATTAATACTGATCGATGAGATTTTACTCTATTTGATTCTATTGTAGCAGCAAGGACTCGATGCATTCGTGTTGCATTTCAGATGTACCGCATGTTGATATAGTAAAAAATGGTCTTGCTGTAATTTTTAATTGCATTTCAACTGTTTTAACATAGTATGTATAAAAATCTAATTCATCTAATTCCTCCCTTCTCAAAAGTTTTATAATATCTTGAAATATAATCTTTTCTCACCCAAAAAGTCGATACGTGATAACATTTTCTCATCTGCCTTTTGGAGATAAACACCTTACTTTTATGGATTTTTTCTGACATTTCTCGAGGTGCATTGAAGATATGTTTGGAGAGCAGTTTGGGAGGAAAAAAAAAGACAAAAATAAACCTCTCAAATCATTGTCAGTGCAAGGATGCATCACCAATAGCTGTTTTTCTACTCTGCTTTTGTTGCTTAAGGTGGATACTAGAATTAGCGTGCAAGTGTGTGGCTTTTACAGTGCTTGCTCATATCATACCTCCTCACCCAACACAATATTACCCATGGGGCCTTGCCTCCCGGGGGTGCACATGCAGTGAACAGCAGTTTGCTTTGAGCTGACCCACTTACGGACAACATCCATAAGCACATTTTGTGTTGCTGCAACGCTCAACAATCCTACACATTCATTTGCCGCGCTCATGAATTCCTTCGTTCTCCTTACCCGCTTGGTTTGTTGTCACAGTGACTGATACACTCTGGGCTGCCCCTGCACCGCTGGCCTGGGAGACCCCGTTGCGCGCATGGACGATGAAAGTGTAGTGCGTGTGGGCCCGGAGCTCGCTCACCACCACCCTTGTGCTCTTCAGGCCCGTCTGACTGGGTGAAAAGTGCACATCTGAGCTGCAGGGGAGGCAGAGCTGAGAGATGGAGCCTGAACTGGGTCTTGGGTAATCTTCAGGCTCCGGCCTGCTCTGGAAGACCCCTCTCCCTGTCTGCACTTCAGGTCCCACAATCCCCTGGTCTGACTGCATCCCCAGGCCGCCATGCTGAGCTTCCGGTTGTGAGATGCTGTGATTTCTAGGGAGGGCTCTACCGCCGCTCTGACTGTGGCTTCCTGTCTGACAGATGAGACACTCCAGACTGTAGCTGGTGTCGCTGCGTCCCCCCAGCCGCCGAGGAGGGGCCCACTCCAGGACCACTGATGTCTCGTTCACCACAGAGATGAGCTGCTGAGGGGCTGAAGGGGGCTCTGAGAAGAAAGAGAGGGAAAACTTGAGTGTGAAGAAAACTTACCAGGAAAGTGCACATATGGGAAGTGGAAGTGAACGGGGTGTATGGGGAGGTTTGTGTGAGATGTTGGCACCGCTTGAAATGCAGACATCTGGCATCAGACTCAAAACCATACTGTTCAGAGAAGTTTTTGATGGGTTGGATGTTTTCTTCTGTGGTATTTCTTTTTTGTGTGTGTGTGTTTCTAGCAGACAGTGTGTGTTTGTGCTTGTGTTTTCATTTTTCCCAGGCCAAGGAAACCATGTGCTGTATATAGGCATAATTAAGTTTATGACACACAGACCAAGGTCTCCAAGACTGTCACACAGGACCTACTCAAAAAGTCAGAGAGAGAGACAGGGAGAGGAAACACATTTATTCACTTCTCAATGCCTTTAGTTATCTCTGGCAGACAGGATGTAGATGGTGGCTTAGTCATAAGTAATGGGATCATGAAACAGGGGTGGCATTCAGACAAGTTTGTGTCTCCCTCTGTTTGGTAGCGATAGAGAGGTTTGGAAAACAATGAGCATGCTTTTTGCTTTTATTTGCAGGCAATGCACACACATTCTATCTGTATTTATGCTTATCTATTGTCCTACTTGAGTGTATGTGTGTTTCTGCACGTGTATTTGTGTATGTGTGCACTCACGTGTGCAGGCCATGGAGGGAGGGTCACTGTCGGCACGGTAAAATCCAGAGTGGCAGTCACAGACGGTTGCTCCGTCTCTGAGCGAGTAGCTGTGCGGGGGACACTTTGAGCATCCCGGATCTGAGGGCTTGGCCTTGTAAAACCCAGCAGAGCAGGCTGCAGAGGAAACAAACAAACGAGACTCTGTTTTTGATCTGTGAAATATCTCATCAAAAAACATGAATGAAAGCACTACAAAGAATATCTCGTGTTTTTATAAAGCTTATATTACAGAAGCGACACCACCCAACTTTGAAGAAAACACACCCTTTGTTTGAAGCATAGACCGTACAAAACACAGACGCAGTCTCAGTGACATCGCACATCGGGTTATTAAAGACGCATCAAGAGGCCCAGTGATGGCGGGTGCGGCATTAAAAACGCTGAGTCAGCCAATCTTTTGATCAATAAAAACCAAGGCGAAGAGGTGGAGATGGTGCGCACCCTGAGACTCCTGGCTAACAGCTTCAACACACCCACCTGCCACTAACATCAAAACAAATGAGTTAAAAAACATCCATTACCCGTACAGTGTGTAAAGTAAAGAATAATCAGGCTTTAAAGGCCCCATATGAGGAGTTTTTTGATGGTTATGAAATAAACTAAAATTCATATTGATGCATTTTTATGATATAAGATAAGATAAACCTTTATTTATCCCATGGTGGGGGAATCTGCAGTGTTAACAGCAGCAAATGATCAGCATAGCAAACAGAAGAAAAGGTACTTGAACTTATACAAGACGTGTTATACACAAAAAAAACTAGTTACAGCTGCCCGGCACTCTTACAGTTCTCTGTAGGGGGTGGGAAACATTGTCCATGAGAGATGATAGCTTAGCCATCATCGTCCTGTTCCCGACCACCTCCACAGGGTCCAGAGGGCAGCCCAGGACAGAACTGGCCTTCCTCAACATTTTTTACAGTCTGTTTCTGTAATGCTGCACCACTCCATAAAAGATGGTTGAGGCCTCTACAGAGTCATAAAAGGTCCTCAGTATTGCTTCCTGCACACTAAAGGACTTCAGTTTCTTCAGTAGGTGGAGTCTGCTTTGGCCGTTCCTGGAAAGTGAGTTTATGTTGTCAGTCCAGTCCAGTTTACTGTTCAGGTGAACACCCGGGTACTTGTAGGAGTCCACAATCTCAATGTCTTGAACTTTGGTGTTAATTGTGCTTACTTGGCTCTTGCAGTGAACTTGTTTTTACTTGGTTTCAACCCTTTAAGGTTACAGGCCACGAATGGAGCTGTGGAGCATTGTTTTGAGTCTGTTTTAATTAGGGATGCCCCGATCCGATATTGATATTGGTCTGATATCAGCCAAAAAACAAATATCGGATTATATCGGCCTGCATCTAAAATCTCTGATATCAGCACTCTAACATAAGCAGACTCCACTCTGGCACCTCTAGCTAGCAGCACCCGGATCCAGCATGCAGAGCCAACGTGATCACAACAACAGTGTCCACTAAAGTACTAACAAAGTAGCAAGGAGTAGGAGTGATGTCAGCTGTGTGGCAGTATTTTCCACTGAAGTCTGAAAAAGACATTGAAGCTGGGTGCAAAACTTGTCATGCACAAGTTCATGCCCAAATCAGATCAATATCGGTATTGGCAGACAATGCAGGCTACAATATCGGTATAATATAGAAGTAAAAAAGTTGTATCAGGACACCCCGAGTTTTAATTGTTTGTCATACAACATTATTTGCACATTTGAAAACAGAGCCTTTGCATGCTAATAGCTACATGGTAAATGGGTTGTGTGAAAAGCTCTTTCCCTCGTCTTCTGATCACACAAAGCTCTTCTATGTTATATGTAACATTCACTCATTCACACAGCATTCACACCCTGATGTAAAGTGCAGTCAGTTAGAACTAATCCCATTTACATACCACCAGTAGGGACAGGTTTAGGAGGTCTTGTCCTCAGAAACTTCCACATGTAGATCTTCTGATTGAGAAAACGCAAACACTGCTACAGCCAAAAACATATTTCTCAGCTCATTGGATGTAAATTTGCTGTTTTGCTTTCATTCCTATGATAGATGACTGAACGTTTCAGGATACAGATCGTGTAAAGAAGAGTACCGGTCTGGTCTCGTGGTTGAGTCATGTGCTTTATCTACTGTCCAATCCTCTCTGAGTAAAAGTATGAAACTTGAAGGATATTTGAAGTATTTGTGATTTAGAACCGTAATAAGCAGATTAATGAACAATAAAAGGAGGACCAGACAAAGGATGTCACACGTTTCTGGTGGCGTGTTATCCTCAGAGATTTAGTAAAATCAAACCAAAATACTCAGAAACACACAGTTTGACTGGAAACTCCACCAGAAACCTCGACATGTCAATGTAATTAACCGGTTAATAATGATTAAAGTCAGGCCTGATGTTGATTTGCATCAGGATGGACTTCAACTCAGCTGACCTTTGACCCTTAGATAAAGTCTTTGTTCTTTATATTGACAGCTTAAAAGATCTGGGAAGACAAGTTAATCAACACGCAGGCTGCGTTTCGATCCGCAGATAAACAACAGTAAAGAAAAAACCACCAAAGGAAGAAATAGATATAGCTTGAAGAGGAGGAGCCCTATGACTTCTTTTATCTTTGATTTTGATGAGCAAAGAAAGACAACTCAAAAAAAAGCATTTACTGATCAGCTCCCACACATACACGGACTCACAAACCAGAAACAGTAGAACTGAATACATCAAAACTCCTCAGCGCTGCAGCCCACACAAATATAATTGACATTTAAATATATGAAAGAAGAGAGACAGAGAGAAAGAGAGAGGGTGAGGGAGGGAGAGAAATCTTCTCTCCGTATACCATGCATTGACAGAGCAACAATAGAATAAATGAGAGCATAATTATACTGCTTGACATCCACTAGAGAAGCACCAGAGATGGCAGAGCAGGGCTGGTTAGGGACTTTTTTTCTCGCGCACATTTTCGAGGGAAATCCTTCATTTGTTTCTACTGCAATCATTTTTTTTTCAACACCTTCTTTTTCATCATCACACCCCATTCATTCTCCTTCCTCCATCCCACCATCATTCCCGCTTCTCCCCTCGTTCAGATTTCCAAGGAAGATGAAGACATCCCGGTGGGAGCAGATAGGAATGTGGGAATGATGTGTGTGTGTGTGTGTGCTTACATGTGTTTGTGTGTGTGTGTCAGAGCGCTTTATGACACTCTCATCAGTGGATGAGAGGGAGGAAGTCTTCTCTGTAATCTCCTCACACCGACCATCCTGCCCCATCTGTGTGAGCCTCCGTAGATCTGCTCTTTCACACACTCATTTATTTGCCCCTGCCTTTTACCTCTTTTTTTCTCCCCTTCACAGCCCCCCGATTTGCTCCCTGCACACTTCCTCCTCGACCTCTACTTATCTGTGCTTTTGTGTCTCTGATAACTCTCTCACTCTTGCTGTATCTCTGTATATCCCTCTCCTCTCCGAGCGTCAGACCTCGGGAAAGCTTTTGAGCGAGGAGAGTTTATGGCAGGATATCGACACCAATTCAAATGAGACCGCACACAAATACAGAGCAGAAAACCATCCTGTCAAAAGATATAAATTCATAAACACATTTATAGCCGATAAAGCTGGAGAGCTGTGAATGCATATACACATATATGGCTGATGAGCTTATCTTTCATCTGCTGGATGACTCATAATTTATCAGCTGATGCAAGATAAAGAGGAGTATCATAACTTACACTCCTTTGTTTTTAATCACAGTGTGGGTCTGTACGTGCATGGGAAAGAGAAGGAGCCATCCATTGAAACACAGAGAGAAGTATTTGACCTGCAAAGACTTAAGTCTTGATTACAGGCCTACACAGGACTTTGCCAGGGGGGTGAGCACACCGCCTTTGTCTCTTTCCCACCCCATCCTCTATCCTTGTCTGCAACACAGAGGACAGAATGAAGGAGGAAGGGAAAGAAAGGAGCCATAAACTTCCTTCAGCGCCCTCTCATGTCTCTATTCTCTCCGTTGTCTGTAGCCTTTTGTGTCTTTTTTAGCGCTGGTTTCAACAGGGGGGTGTGTGAGCGCTGCTGACCTGGAATAAGAGCTCATGAGGGTGTCATTAACCCGACATTAACCTGACGCTACCGAGCGCCGAGCTGAGCCTTAGCTCCACTAGTAAAGCAGCGGATAAGGAGACAAACATAGAGATAAGATAAGCTCGATTAGCATGTCATAGCATCCGCTAACGTGTTTATTTTAGCCTGTTTCCCGCAGCATGTGTAGCTTGCAGTCCCACGGTCTGCTTCAGACAAGTAAGAGAAAGTGGCAAAGTTGGCTTGCAGAGACAGCAAGAGGGAAAAAGACAGACAAAGAGTGACAGATAAAGAGGTGAAGAGAAAAAAAGAGCGAGGGAAGAGGAGGGAGAGAAGCTGGAGGGGAAGGTGCCCTTTGATTACTATCAGCATTGTCGGCATTTGCATATGCATTCTTCTGCTACCTAAAATGCAAATGCAGTTCTCTGCAAATCTAACTAAGAGCCTTGTCGGCACACTGTATGTATGTGTGTCTGTATGTGTGTGTGTGTGAGTGTGTTCTCCTTGACCCCCATGTTATCTGTCATCATCCCTTGTTCCTTCCCAGCAGAGGGGTGTAGATGGAGGAAGTACCCCTGACCGCTCCAGTCTGACACCTGTCTGAGTGATGGATGGAGGAGAGGGCGGGACAGATTGACGGATGGATGGACGGATTGATAGACTGTCACACAGAGAGGCGGGGGACTATTAATCACAGGGGTCATGCCCTGTTAATTAAAACCAATGGAGATGCCAGAGATAAGATTCAAGCCTTATCTTCTCTCTACTGTATGTCTGTATTTGAAGTGAAGCCCACCCACCCCCCCAAAATATCAAGCTGGGGTTACGGTTAGCTGTGATCAGTATCGGAGGCTGATACTTAAAATGCTAGAGATGCTCCAGTGCTGGTGGTCCTCTCATGACTTGTTGGCATGGGCATCATGTGGCCAGTGTCAGTAAATCATTGGGATTATGGTCTTTTATTATATTTCTACAGTTATACAAGAACATAGGGCTATTTTTTCACAATGTACACTGACCAGCCATGACATTATGAAAAAAAACTGGGAATTTAAAGCAAATTAATGCAACAAAGTCTGCTTTCGGGAAGCTTCTAAATTTAATGTCATAAACTGATAATTTACTGATGCAGAAACTTACCACAATAACCGGCGTCATTTTGCCCATATCGGTATATTCGGTGTCCAAAAAATAAATAGAAGTTGGTTTTGGATGTGTGTAGGTAGGCTATGGTCTAATGTCCCTTTAAGATGCTGTCCTACATCAGAGACGTGACTCCACCCCATCCAGTCCATAACAAAGAGGTAAAGACAGGTGAGGAGATGGAGGACAATCCAAAAGTTGTAGTGGCTGGAGCAGCGACTAAAGAGGACAAAGTTAATGTGGGAGGGGGTGATCAGCTCGTGGAGTAGTTATCGTCTATTTATCGTTATCGAGGTGAACTGCTCAATATATTGTGATATTGATTTGCGGCCATTTAGTCCAGCCCTAGTTGACATGATGTTAAAATGTGAAAGTAGAATTTAAGGTTGAGCTGTTACATTGGGTTAAAGGTTATCCATTCAAGTACTCTTCAATGTGTCACACAAAAATCCTTAACATCTCTCCATCACCAAGCTCCTATACAATTTGGCATTAGGTGATATTATAGACAGTAGCTTTGGTCTTTGGTGCAAAGACATTACCCAGCTTTTACTTGAGGTTTTCA